ACCAATGTCATAAAACAACATGTGTACTACTGTTTCATGAGAAACTATTTGTTCTGTAAGCCTTCACCTGAAGTACAATAAAATAAAAAAAAATTTAAAAATTAAAAAAAAAATCCCATTGCTGTTGAGTCGATTCTGATTCATAGCGACCCTACATGACAAAGTAGAACTGTCCCATAGGGTTTCCAAGAAACAGCTGATGGATTTGAACTGCCAACCTCTGGTTAGCAGCCTGAGCTCTTAACCACTGTGCCACCAGGGCCCTAGCAAAGAGCATAAATTAATGAAAAAGAAACCTAAGCTAGGTTTCATATACATGAGAAAAGTAAGCCTCTATCATTTGAGTTTTCTATTATATTCAGTCAAACATAATCCTAACTGATATTAGTTTGCTGTTATTCCTCTTCAACATGGTATTGAAGGTCCTAATGTGTACGGTAAATTAAGAAAAAGGAAGGAAAGAGTAAGGAAAGGAAGAAACAAGATTGCAGATGATAAATCAATTACACAGAAAATCAAAGACTTCTACAGACAAACTATTACAACTTTAAAAAGATAATTCATCAAGGTTGCTGAATGTAAGAAAAATATACAAAAATCAACTGTATTCTTTTACACCAGCCACAAACAGAAAAGTTAAATTTCAAAATGATACCAGTTACAACAACAAAAACTCAAAATAAGTCTAACTAAAGATGTACAAGAACTTTATGGTAGAAATAAAACTATCAATAGGGAATTTCAAGGAACTTAGCAAGCTGATTCCAAATTCTAAGATTAATATGAAAGAGCAAAGGGGCCAGAACAGCCCAGACAATTCTGATGAACAAAGTGGGGGAACTCGTACCCTGTAAGATATCAAACCTTATTATTAAGCTATGGCAACTGAGTTATTGTTGTATTCGTACAAATTAAAAAACCAAACCCATTGCTGTCGAGTTGAAACTGGGATAAACAAATAGGCTAACAGACCAGAAGAGAGAATCCAGAACAGATGCCTATATGTGTACAGGTAGTCCTCGACTTGCGACAGGGTTCCGTTCTGACGGCTCCATCAAAAGTCAGTTTTGATGTAAACTGAATACTTCTTTTTTTTTTTTTTTTTAGTTTTCATTATTATTGCCTTTTATTATCAGTATCTTTATAAATCCGGCAGTATTTTGAATAGTAAATCCTAAAACTGAATATCTGTGAGTGAACATTTGAGAACAGTAACATCATCAGCAAATTACATGCTGCAACATAACTACTAACGACAAGAAGTACCAAAAAAAAAAAAAAAAAAGATGATCATTAGTACAGTTGGTCATAACTCTAATACGTCATAAGCTGGGGTCTATTTGTACAAATCTGATATTTTACAGAGATGGGATTATAAATTACGAAGTAAGAATACATTATTCAAAAAGTTGTTCTGGGACAATCGGTTATTCATGTGGGGAAAAAGTAAATTAGATTCCTACCTCACTTGTTACAAAAATAAATCCCAGGTAGATTTAAACTTAAGCATGATGAGGAATAACTCTTTTTTAATTTTATAAGCAATTATAGAAAAATATATTTATAATCTTGAGGAAGGAAAGGATTTCTTATATAAGACACAAAAAGTACAGCCATTAAGGAAAAATTGGATACATTTAACTACATTAAAATTTAAAACAATATATATGTCCACTGGCCAAATTTGGAACAATTTAAACATCAAAAAGAATAGTGACAATAAAAGATTATAACATACTTAATAAACAAAAATATCCATGAGTCCCAGTGAATCTCAGGAAAAAGAGAATAAGGTGGGAGAGGGGAAAGCTCTTTATTAAAGAAGAATGATAACTAGTAAAAGTAGAAGGAATAATAGAATTGGAAACTCATCATTTTTGCAAGCACTTGCTTACTATAGTAACTGATACAGGCAAGGCTCAGTTGAAGGATGTTAAAACTATTTGATGAAAAGCAACTGGGAAATGAGATATTCACACAGTTTCAAAGTATCACCCCACATTACTTATTAATCACAAAGGGGAAAAGATACTTTTACAATGGAGAAATATAGCAAACAACACCTTAATCAAGTAATCAAACTTATCATCACCAATAACACGACAAATGACATCATGTGCCCTCTGCTGTGACATATCGAGAAGGACACAATATCACATACGCAGTCTTCTTGCCAAAAATGTTTTAACTTAAATTGAATTATGGGGAAATAATTAGACAAATCCAAAGTGAGAGATTTGCAATAACAACTGGCCTGGACTCCTCAAAATATCAATGCCATGAAAAACCAAACAAATAAACAAAAGCTATATTTCTGCAGAACATGAGAAGCAGACTGGATTTCTCCCTGGTGACTCCTCACCAGCCCTTTCAGTGGTTCTTCACTGATAATTCCACCCTGTCTTTCTTACTCCTTCCCCCAGCCTCCCTCTCCTCCCAAAAAGGACCAAAAAAAAAAAAAAAACCCAACCAACCAATTGTTGGGACAATTGGAGAAAAAGGAATATAACTATATATTAGATAACTGTGTTGAACAATGTTAAATTTCTCTACTATGATCACTAGGTTGTGGTTATGAAGGAAAATCTCTGTTCTCAGGTGATATGTGCTGAAAATATGAAATATTTAGGGGTAAAATGTCACAATGGCCACAAATTACTAATGATTCAGTAGAAAAAAATTATATCAAAAGTGATGAAATGTTAACAATTGGTGAATCTATAAAGGGCATTTGGGCTTGAAATTTTTCAAAATACAGATTTTGGAAAAAAGAAAAAACTGATAAACAAAAAAACACACAATAAAATTTATGAATGTCAAAATACATCATAAACAAAGGCAAAAAGCAAGCCACAGTCTGGAAGAAGTTATCAGTAAAGGATTAGAAAAAGATTAACTTCTAGGATACATTAAGAACTTTTACAAATCATACAAGTCAATATGCAAAAGTCAAGCAACCCAGCAGACAAATAGGCAGACGATATGGACAGATATTTAATAGAAGGGCAAGCCTGTATATCCAATGAACAGACAACAAGATGTAAAAAATAATCAAGGAAAGGCAAATTAAAACAATCAGATACCCCTTCACACCCATCAGATTGGCAAAATTCTTTAAGTCTGAGCACAGAAGTGTTGATAAAATTGTGGAACAACAGGATCTGTCAAACACTGGCGGGAGCATTAACAGGTATGTTCCCTGCGAAGTACACTTTGACAATAGCTAACGAAGTTAAAGATGCACACAATACCAGTTATATCACTAGAGTAGCAGTAGGTCCGTGAGATCAAAACTATTTCATAATAACACCAAGAGATAATTTGCCTTTTTCACTCTCATGTACAGTGGAGTTTTCTAGGGGCTTCTGACATATAATATCACAACGGATTGAATACAGAAGCAGATACGACAATCTGTCATCCATTACTTCAGACATTAAAGAGATTTGCAAAAATGTAAAAATAATACCACTCTTCTCATTATTTTTTTGTTTTGGAAAATATATCTATTTTTCATAAAAATATTTTTTTTAATATGTAGTCAGTTTATCACTGTAACTTAAAAATGATTTAATAAATGCTTTGAACATTTCTGAGTTTTAATTTTTAATACAGTAAATATTGATGGCTATAACTCACCTAAAAAAAAGCTCTTTAGAGTCCTCAACAATTTTAAGAATATAAAGAGGTCCTGAGACCAAAAAGTTTGGCGACCATGACCTTAGAGAAAATATCACATAAGTATACCAGGAGACATACATAAGAATCTTCACGGCAATATTGTAATAACAAAGAACTAGAATTAAACTAAATGTTAATCAGCAGGAAAAACTGATGGATAAACTGCATGTATTCTTACAATAAATATAAAGTAATTAAAATGAATGAATTAGAACTACTTGTACCAACACTGTCAAATCTCAGAAAGAATGCTGAATTTAAAAATCCAGTGCTAAAGGACACATACAGTATACCACGTATATAGTTTAAAAACATATAAAACTATACCATTTATATATTATTATTTAGTGATACATACATATGTAGCAAAAGTAAAACAATACAAAACATGGAAATGATAAAAGCAAAAATCATTGAGTGGTTACCTTAGAGGAGGAATGGCATGGAGGAAGGATACATGGGAGGCTTCAATTATATGTGGAATGTTTATTTCTTAAGTAGGTAGTAAGAATATACGTGTTCATTATATTATTCCCTATACATTGTTTGTATGACTGAAATACATTATAAGCAAAAAGAAAGCAGTCTAGATATAATAGGAGTTAAGAAGAGGGACACCACAGGACCAGACGAAGGACTGCAAGCTAAGGGTGACTTAGGTTTGACTTAGGTTTCATGTAACTGGAAGAATCTTGGCGCATTAGCTCATGTTAAGTCAGGATGAGGAAACAGTTTGTGAAAAGGTAGAGTGTTAGGATTTAGACATACTGAGCTTGAGAGAATCACCAGGTGACAGCAATCTTAGAGAACCATATATAGAAGGATGGAGTTTGGGAGGTCAAAGCTAGAGACACAGACTAGGGAGTCAATGAATAAAGATGGAAGATTTGAGAGTAGATGAAATCATCAAAAAGATGATAAAGGAAGATGTGGGTGTGCAGGAACTTACCCAGAGAGGGCAGGGCATGGGGAACACCCACACCTAGGTGGGGAAGATAAGAGACTACTGGAAGACAAAATGAGTCCTCAGAAAGGTAAGAACACAAATCAGAGTCAGGGAGGAGAACATTTGAAGAGAGATGCTATAAAATGGTTCAAAGAGGAGAGGAATAAGTCCCTATCACTGAATTATTGTTTGTGCAATTTCAGCTCAAAGACTGAGAACTTCCTGAAAGTTTACCAATTCAGAAGCCTATACTGATTAATCTCACACCTTTCGGACCACTACTCTTATCATTTATCCATTCATTCCAACAAATATTGATTACCTTATATGTGCTAGGCACTAATGATACAATAACGGGCAAAAACAGATACTTCCCTCTCTTCATTGTGGAAGAGAGAAATTTTAATCAATGACTCACACTGATGAATGTAAAATGACTACAATGACAGCTATGAAAAGTGGTACATGGGGCTTTGAGAACGTATAATCGAAGGATGTGACCAAATCACAGACTACTGAATTGCAAACTCCCTCTTTCTTTTAGCATGTACATTGTGCCTTCTTGATCAGACTGTAAGCCCCATAGGACATAATAGTTTAGACTATTCATTTTCTTCTGATACCATCTTCAAGTGCCCAGTATAATGCTCCAAAATAATGGATATTCAGTATACACTTACTTATATACTATCCATCTGTGGCTGGATGTCTCAGACTTTGTAATACATACATCTTATTGTGTGGAAGAGCTAAGACAATTGTTTTTTTTTTTTTAAATATTCTGCTGTGGGAAGTGTTAATGAGCCCAAAGGCAAGGTGAAAGCCTTCAACAGTTTAGTTTTATGTCCTCTGCTGCATCCCAAGCAATTACTTTAAGAATGCATAGGACTGGTATTAAAGGTGGAGCTAGTAAAAGCATGGAAGGATTGACACAAACGTTCTCACCACTAGAAAGACAACTCAAAGTGTATGCTCTAACAACAGTAAGCCAGTGCTGTAATGTTATTTTTGCAAATAAAAAGCAAAACATTCACCTGTATACCAATATTCACTGCAGCACTATTCACAACAGCCAAACAGCAGAAACAACCTAAATATCCATCACAGATGAATGGACAAACAAAATGTGGTATATTCATATATAATGGAGTGTTACTCAGCCATTAAGAGAAATGAAGTTCTGATGCATGCCACAACATGGACGAACCCTGAAAAACATCATGCTGAGTGAAACAAGTCAGTCACAAAAGGACAAATACTGTATGATCTCACTTACACGAAACAGGCAAGTATACAGAAACCAAAGCTTATTAGTGGTTATCAGGGGTGGGAGCAAGCGGGGAGGGGGAGTTATCGATTAGGGACTGAGTTTCTATCAATGGTGGTGGAATAATTTGGAAAGGGATAGTGATTATGGTTGGACAACATGATGAATGTAATCAATGTCACTGACTTGTACATGTAAAATTAGCAAACTTTTTAAATGTATTTTTTACCACAATAAAACAAAACATTCATCATAAGGCAATTGACCATGATGAGAAAAATAGAGTTCAGCAGTAATCAAGACACAGTTTCACAACTACTTACATCACGAAACTGAACCTTTCCGAGTTCTCCTAATTCACTGACGCAACAATAAGCAGCTTCTGACTGTAGAAAAAGCTGGGCCAGCGTCATCTCCTCACTCCGGAAAAGTTCCCCCATGGTGGCAGAAAGTACCAGTCAACAAACTACCTAGATTTCTCTCCACCTGAGGCAAAAAGAAAATTACAGGACCTTGGAAATTACCAAGTGCCAAAGGCAAACAACACCCCAGCAAGGCTCTTTTGTTTTGCATTTTCATTTCTTCTACCCCATGCTGACAGGTCTTTAACAACTGTTCTGATATCCTGCTTAGAAAGACAGAAAGGAGAAATTGCCCAAGCAGTTACCGAACCCGTTCTACAGAGTGCAAGATGAAAAGTGACTTCCTTTGCAGTCAACATCAGGATCAAGTGACAATGTTTTGGGATAACTCAATACATGAGAATGTACCCAGATTAAAGACAGAACTGGGAATCCCAAACAGCTCTTTAAATACCCTTGACACAATATCATGAGGCATTGACATTCATGCTGCCCTATCTTTTTTTGCTTGTACAGGAAGCAAACGTAAGAGATCTTGATGACTGTTGTCTCTGTTGTAACTAGTTTTCTACTCTTTACTGACAATGCCCATCTCTAACAGCCAAAGCCCTAGGACTGTGGCTATATTAAAGGGTTTAATCTTCCAAATGCCTCAGAAAACACAATTTTTCCCCTAAGGAATTCAAATGTATAACCATTATCTAAAAACATAGAAAGTAGAAGAAAGAAATCAACTTGCATATTAAGTTCAGTTTCAAATTAAGCATAACAGGGATACATTGATAATGACAAAGCGGTTTTATCAAGCCACAGAGAATAAGATTTCCACCCCTGCAGCTTTCTGTTTCTTATCCCCACCTTCAAGATTAATTGCACTCTTCCATCTGTCAAGTCTTTTCATGCTTAGAGCCAATAAAGGCTTCCTTTAAGGGCTGTCTAAACTGTTGCCCTGTTAAAAACAAAATAGGCGCTATCAGTGGTCCTGAAACGGCAATTATTTCTTCTCAATCAGCTAAGGTAAGACACAGACTGTACACTATCTAAACTCAGCATAACGTACGGTATTTTTAGTGTCATGAGGGCATTCATATTCAGTACTGATAAGGTGAGACTGGCATCAAAGGAAAGATGGGAGATATTTTAAGGAATTTGAGCGACAAGACCTTTGTGCATTTGATGTTGAAGGCGGCAAGACAACACACTCAAATATAGGCAAGGACTTATCAAGAGATTATGTAGCTTGACTTTAAGATTGTTTATACTTGGATCATCCGAAACAGCTGCTACTAGCCCCACCCAAAAAAACAAAACAAAAAAACAAGGACAGATTCCACAATCTTTAAACACATAAAATTATGCCTGACCAGCACAGTTCAAGGGCCACCAATAATGATAGCCTCCAATGAGTTCCCTCCCTCTCTCTGGTCTTTAATGATTACAGGTCTCCCGAGAACATCCCAATGGAGCCAATCAAAACCTAAACAGGCCAAAGCGGTTCTGGGGTCACAAAACAAAATGATAAGTAACAGTAATTCTGCTTAACGAGTCCAAATACAACAGGCCCCGCACCCGGCCTCGGGGATCTCATTACTGTCATCCAGTGCTCGCCTCCTAACACGGTATTCACCTGCTCCATTTCTTGCCTACCCAGTGAGAAAGCAGGAATTCTCAGAGCCCAGACACACCTACCTCCTGGGGTGGGGAATAAAAGCGGGGCAATCCTCAAATTCAGAGACGGTCAATAAGCCCCCTAAATTCAGTTCTTTCGCCTACCCCTTAAATGGGGGAAGGGATTCAGGTCCTCCAAAGGCGAGAGAACCTCTGGTTCCTCTGATCACAGGAGCGGTGCCCAAAGAGGGGGAGAACGCCATTTCTTCCCACAGACCCAAATTCCCTGCTAATTCCTTTGACAAGCAGGGAGGCTATTAGAAGGAGTTCCTCCGCCCCTCGGAGGCCGCTCCCGGAGGCGCTGTACCTGCAGCCCCCGCTCACCTCCCGCTGCCGACCCCACTGACGCCACGGCAGCCGCGGCAGACTAACCCCGCAGCCTCCGCCGCTCCGGACAGCAAGCCCTAGACGTGACTACGTCCGTAAAGCTCCGCCACCGCGCCGCCGCAGCCCTCCGCCCCCACGATGACCTCATCGTAGTCGGCCAATGGGCTGCTGCCTCGCCCCGGCTGCCGCAGTGCGGCGACGCGGGGACTCGGGCGAGACCCTGCGTACTGACGCCATCTTGTTCTCGCCGCTGCGTTTTCTGGCTTGGGAAGGCTCGTGGGTGGTGCAGGCAGTGCAGGTGCTCCGGGCCTTCGGTTCCTGAGGCCTTTGGAATCTCTCTACCTAACCCTTGTCTTCGAAGCAAGGCTGTCTGCTCTCCTTGTTTCCGTATCTAAAGAATTAATTCAGAACTGTATCTCCTCGAGGAAAGTAGCATGAAGGAAAGGGATAAAACACACAGACACACCCTGTTACTTGTTTATTCTACCAATGAGAAAACAATCTCTCGAAGAAAGTAGCGTGAAGAAAAGGAATACATCAGACACACACACACACCCTGTTATTTCCTTATTTTACAGATGAGAAAACTTGAGACCTAGAGTGGAGAGTGACTTGCTTAAGGTACTAGAGCTTGTAGTAGGACTTAAAACAGGGTCTCGTTTACTCAAGTACGGAACACCCGTCTTTAAAAGGTACTTGATTCACGCCCTTCACCAACTGCCCAGTGTCTATTTTTCTCCAAGTAACAGTGGGGGAGGAAAAAAACAAAACCGTATGTTGCGAAAGTAAACTTTGATCTTGTTTAGTGGATTCCTGTGGGCTCATTTGACCACGTAGGGATTTTTTTCCTCAAATTTAAAAATAAAAATTTTTTAACGCAAAAGTGATGCGTGCTTATTATTCTTAAAAACACCTTCCTCAAATATTGATAATGATTGTCTTTTCTTGCCTCTCTTTTAAGGAAGCGTAGGGAATCCCAGGTCCTTGGTAATAACCAGAACTACATCTGGAAAAACTCGGAAAACCGGTAATTCAGTCTCTGTGGGTGGTGGAACCCTATTGTGATTGAAGTGTAATGAGGGAGATATTTCAGATAAGGGCTTGGTGCTGATAATTTTGTCTATCTGGCAAAAATATCCGTACTGCTCTAGCAGCCTAAGTGAAATAATGAAGGGCGAAAATGAATGTTTTATTTGAATTTTCTATCTCATATTGTGAGTGAAGATATAGTTGACTTCATTATGATTTTCTTGAGCACTTCGGAGACTCAGGCACCCCTTTTCCCTGTGGTCTTAAATGTTTTTTTAGCTCTCCCAACTTTCTGGGCAAGGCAGATAGGGACCCACATTTGAAGGCTTGCAAAGTTTCAGAAAACATTACACAATTACTGTCGTTTCCTTCCTTTAAGACTTACAAAATAAATAAATAAATAAACCTCAGAGTCGGTGGCTTGCTAACCACAAATGTTTCATACTACACCGGTACGATAGCCTTTCCTTTGGGCTCACCTCAATTCCCTTGAACTCTCTTTTTTCATGGCGTTCTTGAGCTCCTTTTCTCTGAAAGCTCTTTTTCTGTCTCCTTCCATCTCCTGCCATCAATCTTTCCCCCGTGTTCTGTTTCTTTTCCCTCTGTGCTCTCCTCCTTGGCAGTCTTATCTATTGCCAGGCTTAAATGTCTGTGTGTGGGACTCACATCTATTTTTCCATCCACCTCCCTTCTCCAAGGCTCAGAGATGGAATTTCAACTGCCTGCTAAATAATGCCATTCAGAAAACAAATGTTTGTTGAGGGCCCACTACATGCCAGACATGGTGCTAGGTGCTAGGGATAGGAAAATGAAACAGACATGCTTCCTATCCTGGAAGAGTTCACAGTTAAGTGAGAAATGTTGTTAGGTGCCATCCAGGTGGTTCCGACTCATAGCAACCCTGCGTACAGCAGAACAAAATACTGCCCAGTCCTGCGCCATCCTCATAATCGTTGCTATGTTTGAGCCCATTGTTGCAGCCACTGTGTCAACCTATCTCGTTAAAGGTCTACCTCTTTTTCACTGACCCTCTACCAAGTATGATGTCCTTCTCCAGGGATTGGTCTCTCCTGATAACATGTCGAAAGGACATGAGACAAAGTCTCACCATCCTGGCTTCTAAGGAGCATTCTGGCTGTACTTCTTCCAAGACAGATTTATTCGTTCTTCTGGCAGTCCATGGTATATTCAATATTCTTCACCAACACCATAATTCAAATGCATCAATTCTTCGATCTTTCTTATTCATTGTCCACCTTTCACACGCATGTGAGGCGATTGAGAACACCATGACCTGGGTCAGGCACACCTTAGTGCTCAAAGTGACACCTTTGCTTTTTAACACTTTAGTCTTTTGCAGCTTATTTGCCCAAAGCAATATGTTGTTTGATTTCTTTACTGCTGCTTCCATGGGCATTGATTGTAGATCCAAGTAAAATGAATTCCTTGACAACTTCAATATTTGCTCTGTTTATCATGACATTGTTTATTGGTCCAGTCGTGAGGATTTTTGTTTTCTTTATGTTGAGGTGTAATCCATACTTGTTACCGGGTAGAAACCCTAGGTTTTGCTTGGCATGACTCATATCGGCCAATAAACGAGAAGCCGAAGTGGGAGAACGTAAAGATGCCTTTTACTTCGTTGCGCAAGGAAGGAAGCAATCGAGGCTGCTGCCTCCAAGACTGCTTCATGCAGGTGAGGAAAATACTTACTTTTAAGGGGTTTACAAGTAGGGAGTTCATACAAGTTATGTCAGCAACACTCAATCATGCCATGCAGGTGCCAGGATTTCACGGGGCAGGCCAAGCAAAAGAATTTCCATTCTGATGCAGATTGCCAAGCAATGGTACTGAAAATGGGAGGCAGCAGAGCAAAGGAACTGCAATTCTGATGCAGATTACGAGGCCAGCCAAGCAATGGAACTGGAAATGGCAAACGCCAGCCAAGCAATCTGCAGTGGAATTTCCTGCAGTCTGGGGACCTCTGTATTGTACTGAAGGCTGTAATCTTTGATCTTCATCAGTAAGTGCTTCAAATCCTCTTCCCTTTCAGCTAGAAAGATTGTGTCATCATCGGCATATTGCAGATTGTTAATGAGCCTTCCACCAATCCTGATGCCCCATTCTTCACATAGTCCAGCTTCTTGGATTATTTGCTCAGCATACAGATTGAATCTGTATGGAAAGGATACAACCCTGATGCACACTTTTCCTGATTTTAAACCACATAGTATCCCTTGTTTTGTTCGAATGACTACCTCTTGATCCATTAACAGGTTCCACATGAGCACAATTAAGTGTTCTGGAATTCCCATTCTTCACAATGTTATCCATAATTGTTATGATCCACATAGTCAAATGCCTTTGCATAGTCAATAAAACACAGGTAAACAGCTTGCTGGTATTCTCTGCTTTCAACCAAGATCCGTCTGACATCAGCAATGATATCTCTGGTTCCACGTCCTCTTCTGAATCTGGCTTGAATTTCAGGCATTTCCCTGTCAATATACTGCTGCAGCTGCTTTTGAATGATCTTCAGCAAAATTTTACTTGTGTGTGGTATTAATGATATTGTTTGATAATTTCCACATTCAGTTGGATCACCTTTCTTGGGAATAGGCATAAATATGGATCTCTTCCAGCTGGTAGGCCAGGTAGCTGTCTTCCGAATTTCTTGGCATAGACTAGTGAGCACTTCCAGCCCTGCATCCGTTTGTTGAAACATCTCAGCTGGTATTCCGTCAGTTCCTGGAGCCTTGTTTTTCGCCAATGCCTTCAGTGCAGCTTGGACTTTTTCCTTCAATACCACTGGCTCTTGATCGTATACTACTTCCTGAAATGGCTGAACATCTACCAATTCTTTTTGGTATAGTGACTGTGCAATCCTTCCATCTTCTTTTGATGCTTCCTGCGTGGTTCAATATTGCTCTTGAACATAGAGTAGCTAAAGTGAATGGAAGAAATGATGAAGTAAAACAGCCAAATAGAAGATTTCAAAGGGTGGCTTGAGAAGATAAAGTGAAGTATTATAATGAAATGTGCAAAAACCTGAAGTTAAAAAACCAAAAGAGAAGAACACGCTCGGCATTTCTCAAGCTGAAAGAACTGAAGAAAAAATCCAAACCTCGAGTTGCAATATTGAAGGATTCTATGGACAAAATATTGAATAACACAGGCAGCATCAAATGGAGATGGAAGGAATACACAGTGAGAAATAAAGTTCCAATAATTATGGGACGGAGATGAGTGCAAAAGTTAATACATACTATGAGCCAGGCGCTTTTTTAAGCACTTTATAAATATGAACTCATTTAGTCCTACACCAACCCTAAGAGGCAGATACTATTACCATCCTCATATAACAGATGATGAAATTGAGGCACAATAATTTGTCTAAGGTCCCTCAGCTAGTAAATGGCACAGCAGGATTCAAACCCAGCCAGTTTGGCTCCACTTCGTGTGCTCTTAAGTATGATGCCGTTCTGCCTCCATTAAGAGTACTGTCTCTGAATCTGACCAGAATTCAAATCTCGATGTGCCGATTAAGAGCTGTAACCTTGGAACTCTCTAAGCCTCAGTTTTCTTATCTATACAGTGAGGATAATAATAGTACTTACCCCATATCGTTTTTGTGAGGATTAAAAGGAAC